AATTGTTGCTGTAAAATGTCTTCTAGCACCTTAGCTAATTCCGCCATTTGTTCCATTTTGTCAACGTATTCACCAGAAAACAATTCTGCTCCAATAAACAATAAAATTCTTATTCCAAACAAGAGGGTGGGGTTGGGGGGGGGCAAACGTTTCACAAGTTTTTCTAACGTACCTCGTCAATAAGCGTTAAAACAAACATGAGTGAAAAATTACTTTTTGTAAGCGTCGAACAAGTTTTTCTAACGGTCTTCGTTAGTACACGTTGCCGACTGTATTTTTTTTCTTTTGTTTTAACTTGTGAGGTCGTTATGAATCTCGTCGCCAACTGATATGTCCCAGAAAGGAATATATTTGAACGAAGTAGCTAAGTGGTTTTGGCTGCTATAACCAAGTAAAATACGGTAGCAGTAATCGACTGGTACGCGTCGTAGTCTCAGTTAAGAAGTGTAGAGCAATGGCGTAGTCTAATGGGCGTCTTTATAGACTTAGCTCTCAGACTAAGGCTCTTTTTTATGTCAGACCTACACGTCCGTCGGTATTTATGACGGACACCAGCCAATCATATTCCAGTGAGGGAGAACACAGGTGTATGCATATCCGATTATATCACTTTTCAATCACCCTGTATATGAGAAGAAAAAAAACATATTCAATCAAATAAGACATTTGAAAAGCAATAAAAACTGTTGCAAGTAATGTTCAAATCAAAAGTAGAAAAGATAATTAATTAATAGTATAAAGTCTGATGAATGTTTTAGAAAGTCCTCTTTTTATGTGACGTGTCCCTTCAGGGTGTAAGCGATCATGGCCCTCAATCTCTTCCTGTCTCTTGTAGCTCTTAATAAGTTTTGTCTTTTTGTTATTTCTCCCAGACCCTGTTATACCATCCACTTGCTCAAACCCATTAAGTATGTCACGCGTTTCTTTCCATTGTCTCTGTTTCCCTCTATCCGTCCTGTGAGTATCAGATGTTCCAAGCCCTCCTTTCTCATTACGTGTCCATGAAATTTCGACTACTCTAATGATTATATTTACGATCACCGGAAACTTATCTTACTCCTTCAGCTATCTTATCCCAGGAACTTATCTTCTTGTTTTAGATATCTTATCCCAGAAACTTATCTTCCTCATTTTGGTATCTTATCCTAGAAACTTATCGTCTTCCTTTCGATATCTTATTCCAGAAACTTATCTTCCTCCTTTTGATATCCTACCACTGAAATGTTTCTTCCTCCTTTTGATATCCTAGAAACTTATCTTCTTCCTTTCGATATCTTTTCCCAGAAACTTATCTTCCTCGTTTTGATATCTTATCCCAGAAATTTTTCTTCCTTTATATATCCTATCTCAGAAACTTATCTTCTTCCATTCGATATCTTATCCTAGAAACTTATCTTCCTCCTTTTGATATCTTACCCCTGAAAATTTTCTTCCTCCTTTTGATATCCCAGAAATTTTTCTTCCTCCTTTTGATATCCCAGAAACTCATCTTCCTCGTTTTGAAATCTTATCCCAGAAACTTATCTTCTTCCTTTAGATATCGTATCCCAGAAACTTATCTTCCTCGTTTAGATAACGGCCATTACTACGATTTGGATATTGTTTTTCTGGCGTGGATTAAGATATGTATATATTTTGAAATTCATATTCTCAAGGGCGATTTCTTAATTGTTGCTATTTATTGTAATAGAAATCTTTCTTCTTTTTCCCGCTTCCCGTCTTCATTCGACTGTATCAAACTTTTTATTCTGAACTAATCTGCTACCTTCGCTTTGTATATGACGATGTCTTCTGTCTTCGTACGGATGTTATTTTCCATTTTGCAGTGATTTCTTGCGTTTATAGTTAAAATAACAGGTTCCTGTGTATTTGTCTTCTGGGCTGCTAATCTCTTTTCTTTACAGTTGTTCCTATCCACCGAATTGTAAAATTTGTAAACAAAGTTATTGTTCATATTTTTCAAGTTTATGTCTCTTGTCGAGTCAGGTCGAATATGATTATTTTATTATAAAACTTGATAAATTCTCCCACAGACGTGCCGTTGACTCCCTCTCTTATTTACAATTACTTTCCTGGTAACTGCTCCGATGAGCTGCTTTCGCTGGTTCCCAGACTTCATGAATTTAAACGTTCAACTAGGCTGGCATCTCCCTCTCACCCTTTCACTGTCGAAACTGTTAAATGTAGCCGTCTCTTCTACTCCAATAGCTTCATGTCTCGCACTTCTCGCTTGTGGAACTCCCTCCCCTTTTCCTGTTTCCCTGATAGCTATAATCTCCAACTATTCAAATGTAATGTCAATCGACGTCTCCAAATGCCTTGATCTATCCCCTAACCTTCTCTTCATCCTTTCCTCTATCACTCCTATTTGCTCTCGCTCCAACTATCTGTAACCCTCTGAGTGCTAGTGTCTTCCCGCCTTGCTTGGGGCTGAATGCTTAAAAAAATATGCAATAATTAAAGGGCTTGAAGTTTGTTAAAATATGAAAAAAATGTTTAATGAATAACACACACACAATAACACACACACACACACACACACACACACACACACACACACACACATATATATATATATATATATATATATATATATATATATATATACATTAACCCTGCAGTAAAGTATTTCGCGCTTATTTTCAACACATTTAGATTATTTAGTTATGCTGTTTCTTAACGTAAAATTAAAAAAAATTAAACCTAGCCGATCTCGCAAACACAATATCCCTTTCGTTCGCTCTTAGAATTTTTCTTACTTAGCTAAATATTTTAAGATAATTTTACCCCAACAATTCCTCCATTACAATTTTATTCTGATATCAGGGCATCTTCATTTAATAATGAATCCATTCTACATTCAAGTTCTGTGCTTATCTGTTTCTTTCGCTTTCACACGAGAAAAAAAGCATAAATCAGTCCCTTCCTCGCCACCAGCTATGGATTAAATAACAGGGTAGACCATGTAGACATTTACATTTAATAAACTGTGAATTGATATTGGAGTATATTTTTAAGTAAACAATAAAATGAGCTATTTTATTTATTAGGATTTTTTTGCAACACGACGACGCTCACGTTTCGTTCAACTTTGCAAATCAATCGATGAAAGTTGAATAAACTGATTTGTTCGGAAAAATAATTTGACAAAAATCCGACTTAGCGGTTTAAAACTTTCTTTCATTTAATTTAATTTTATAACACCTCATGGTAAACAATATGTTTTAAGAAATTTTTTTTTCTTTTTAACAATGAAACATAAATTCGTAGAATAGTATTTTGTACGTTAAACAATAGAACTTTTAATTTTTCCTAAACGATTATGGAAATTTTATCGTTATAAGGCACATAGTACACGCTGTAATTTCTACCCGCTTACCTGTTTTCGCTTCTAACCTAAATTTGGTTGCGATAAGTCAATGTATGGCTATTTTAAAGGGTATGACGGCCGGACGGACGGACGGACGGGCGAATGGACGGACGGACGGACGGACGGGCGAATGGACGGACGGGCGAATGGACGGACGGACGGATGGACGGACGGACGGATGGACGGGTGAATGGACGGACGGGCGAATGGACCGACGGACGGACGGGCGAATGGACGGACGGGCGAATGGACCGACGGGCGAACAGACGGACGGACGGCCGGGTGGATGGATGGATGGACGGACGGGCGAATGGACGGACTGGCGAATGGACCGACGGACGGACGGACGGATGGACGGCCGAACGGATGGACGGCCGGACGTCACAGAATTTTGTATATAAATCGAGGCGTTAAAACCACTAAGACACTAGGGGCTTAATGGAGTGAGGACAATAGTATATAAGAGGGGAGCCAGTTTATTAATATCTCCATGTTAAAAAGTCTCTACATTTTTTTTTTTTAAATGAAAGAAATGTGTCAGAGACATCGAGCAAAATTAACAGACTGGTTTCATACAGAACTGGAATTTCGCAAATGGCCGACATCGAAAGCTGAATAATAAAGTTAGATCAACTGATTATTTGATAACTTCTGATGCGGCAGTAAATGTAATGTACAAAAGAGTGTTATGAGCAACACGGGCGGACTTGTAGAATGTGTGAAATAAGACAGATTAAGAAGTCCCCATTTGTCGACGACACAATAGAGCCAATTAGTTATCTCTTGATGAATCATTGAGGAATGATTTGGTCGCATGCAAAAAAATTAGAATGGTGGTTAAAACAGAAAGCGATAATAACGAGACAAGAATATTGACGATGCAGGTTACGTTGTGTTTATGCCTAATGACGTGAACACCCGTTATTATCTATCTATCTATCTATCTATCTATCTCAGTTTGGTATCTATCTATCTATCTATCTATCTATCTATCTATCTATCTATCTATCTCAGTTTGGTATCTATCTATCTATCTATCTATCTATCTATCTATCTATCTATCTATCTCTGTTCAGTATCTATTTGTGTATTTCAGTTTCGTATCTAACTTATTTTTTAAAGTGAGATTCAGACTGTGCAAGGTCCGGGAGCAAATGGTGGTAGAGTAACGAGCACATTATATGCGGATATGTGAAGAAAATAACGGTTAACCCACGGCTTGAAATGCTTAATATTGTAATGACCGGGAAAAATCTTCTTGCGAGTCTTTTCCCCTGAAGAGTGGACATTTTTATAATCTATCTCGACTGGAAAGTGAGGACTGGGAAGCTCTTGCCCAAATATGGCAGCAGTAAACCAGTTTAGGTCTGTTCTAGATCTTGTAAAGGTAGAGGATATAACGGGAAGTCAGGAACTTAATGGAGCGGTACGAGAGACCAACTTTTTTCCTATCCAATTGTCGCTCATGGCACAGGGCCTCCCAGAAGGAATATCTATTCTGCTTAACTGTTGGTAGTTTGTGACCCTATCTATCTATCTATCTATCTATCTATCTATCTATCTATCTATCTCCGTTCAGTGCCTGTCTGTCTATCTATCTATCTATCTAGATAGATAGATAGATAGTGAATTAGGACAGATAGATAGACAGATAGACAGACAGAGATACAAACACTGAACTGAGATAGATAGATAGATAGATAGATAGATAGATAGATAGATAGATAGATACTGAACTAAGATAGATAGATGGATGGATAGACAGACAGATAGACACTGAACTGAGACAGACAGACAGACAGACAGAAACTGAACATAGATAGATAGATAGATAGATAGATAGATAGATAGATAGATAGATTAAATTAAATAAGTTAAATTGAGTCGACGGAACTGTTTGGAAGTCGTCGACGGTTGGTGCTGGCGTTGTTCAAACTGCTGTAATTACGTTTCCGCTTGGCATAGTTGCAGTATAAACCACGGGTGGGTGTCTGTGAGTGCTGAACAAACAAAAATATGCTTGACTAGGTGTTTGGAATCGAGATTAGCTATCCGTCCTAGCAGATGAGAGTGCTCGGAAAACGAGAGACGACATTAGCCGCCTATTATATATATACTAGCAGCATGGCCCGGCGTTGCCCGTGCTTGATTCAAAAATCGTACGACTCATACAGCAATCGCTATCACTTGATTTAAAATATTTTTGCCTTCCTTGCCTTTAAAGGAGTGCTCTTTGACGTGCTGATGTTTCTACATGCCTTACTTCTTGCCTGTTTCCCACTGCGATTTTTTTCTAAGCTCTATACTAAACATTAAAGCTGTTACGAAAAAAGAACTAAACAAAATGAACGCAAAACGATCAGCTTTAAAAAAGGACTCGTAACTGGAAAAACCGAATGAAAAAAGAATGTTAACAACAAATACTTTTTCACACCCAACCCAGTTCTGCGGAATCAGAATCAACGTTGAGTTTAAGCAAGCGAATTAGCCAATTGGAATAAAGTGCCATGCTGATTTAAATTTTTCTCACTTGTGACGAATGCAGCTATCGATTTTTTTTTTGTATGCTAGCATGCTAGTTAACATTTGTGTCAGTCAGCTGTTGGCTCTCACGCTGGCCAATAGAATCTTCCTGCCTATTCGTGGCAGCCAGCTATTGGCTCTCACTCTGGCCAGCAGAAAATGGCCGCAAACTACATGAAAACTGCCGTAGAAGCATGAAAAAAATCGATTATTTCCACAATCGATGGGAGTTTGGAAATGCGAATTCGGTCTTGGTATTCCCGCTAACTTGGAGCGTGGGGATGTAAATTTTGGTGTAAATCCGTGGAAAATTGCGCCCGTGCTTTTATTACACACACACACACACACACATCCTGCCTTTTATAGATAGAGATTTTATTGTTTCTGATATTTGCCATAACACTCTGAATCGATACAGTCTTCTATATTCGTACTAGTTTTAAGCAATCATTTTTCATTGCTATGGTCCTAGGCAGTGATGGCTCTCCTCGGTTTCCTTTGTTTATTTGTGAAATACCGTACTTTCTTGACGGTTTTGAATTCAGAAGATACGTTCACCTAGACTGGCTACCACCCAAGGCTAGAGTAACCAAGTTTTTTTTTAACCCATAGCTGCGGTTGGGGAAGAAAAATAGATCCGTGCCTTCACAGTGGCATTAACACGAAATTGAACATAATAAACTTGACCGGAATTTGAACCCGGCTAGCTGATTCCATTTTGAACATCAAAAAAAAAACGTTACGGCACATTTTCCATCTTCTTATGGTTGAGATTTTTAAATATTCTTAAAAATCTTAAATCTTCGTAACCTGACTCAGTGAGGGTGGGGGGTCAAGTAAATACAGACTATTACTTCGTTAGAGAGATTTCCATTTTCTTATCGTTGTGATTTTTAAATCATACAACACACTCTTATTATTTTCGGAATAACTTCTGATTGGTGGAGATCGTCTTAAAATATGGCTTGAATGGCTAAATCCTGTCTAAAGCTTTCTAGAGGTGTCGGGTTTTGGGCCTAAGCGATCGAACTGTATTTAAATCATAATATTGCAAGAAAAAGAATTATTCGCAGTTTAAATGACGAAAAGATTTCACGGCTGAATAATCGATCGGCTAAACGACAGCGTTGCCGTAAAACGTAAGATAATGCGTAAAAGATCCAGAGAATTGTACCTCAGTTGAAGTTACTTAATCGTAGAATGTCAAAACATTTCAAAGACAAAGGAGGCGGACGAAAATTGCAGAAATATTTAGCGTGGTGCCTGACATTTGCGAAGACAAAATATGCGTGTGAAATTCAATCCCAAGTCTAGAGAGGCAGTCGTGACAGGAATTAAACAATACGTATTAGAAAGAGAGGCTAAGAGAAAGAAAGAAAGAGAAAGAAAGATAAAGAGAGAAATAAAGCGATAGAGAGGGAAAAGGTTAACAGGATGTGAATTTTTAAAAATTGTAAGAAAAGTAACAGGACAAGAAAGATAGAATAAAGGAAAAGTTAAAATAATGAATTAGTAAAAATCTAATAGAGAAAGCGTATTTCAGATGAAGAGGTAAAAAGAACAAATAGGAAAAAGAAAGAAAGACAGTGGAAGTGAGGTGGGGAATAAAAGAAAAAGGTAAAGAAAAGGGAGGGGTAATGAGAAAAAGAAAGAAAGAAAGATGTGAGGATGGAAAGTGATGAAATGAAGGACAAAGAAAAGAATAAAAGGGGTAGATGGAATATGAGAGTGACACAAGCAAAGAAAGAAAGAAAGAACGAAAGAGAGGAAGAAAGAAAGAAGCTGGAAGGGCGAAAGAGACATTAAGGTTAGAGGAAGTAATGAAATAAGAAAAGAAAGAAAGGTAATATGAGAAAGAAAGAGAGGAAGAAAGAAAGAAAGAAAGAAAGAAGCTGGTAGGGTGAAAGAGACAATAAAGGCGAGAGAAAGTAAAGAAATAAGAAAAGAAAGAAAGGTAATATGAGAAAAAAAGAGGAGAAGAAAGAAAGAAAGAAAGAAAGAAAGATACATAATGAAACTGAAAGAGAACAAGTAAATGAAAAAGAAAAAGTGAAATAGGAGAAAGAAAGAAAGAAAGTTATAGAATGAAGGAAAAAAATAAAGGAAAGAAAAAGGGTAAGATGGAATATGTCAGTAAATGAAGCGAAAGAAAGAAATAGAGGAAGAAAGAAAGAAAGAAAGAAGCCGGAAGGGCGAAAGAGACAATAAAGGTTAGAGAAAGTAAAGGGATAAGAAAAGAAAGAAAGGTAATATGAGAAAGAAAGAGAGGAAGAAAGAAAGAAAGAAAGAAATAAGCTGAAAGGGCGAAAGAGACATAATAAAGGCGAGAGAAAATAAAGAAATAAGAAAAGAAAGAAAGGTAATATGAGAAAGAAAGAGGGGAAGAAATAAAGAAAGAAAGGAAAGAAGATGGAAAAATTATAGAATGAAGGACAAAAAAAAAAACGAAGGGAAAAAGCGGGTAAGAGACAATATAAGAGTGAAACGAATGGAAAGAAAGAAAGAAAGAAAGAAAGAAAGAAAAGAAAGAAAGAGAGAAAGAACCCCTGCTGAATTATTCAGTTCTTAGGTCATGCGCCTGGAAACTGAAATGCTTTGTATCTCCCTAATTAATGGTACCACCAAGCTATGATTGTCTATACTTGTTCTACTGATCGAGTGATCAGTATGTGGGCAGATCACCTCCTCCACTGATATTATTTAAACCTAATTGCCACCATCCCGGTTCAGTCATACCTAAATTTAAACAGTCCCTTTATCTGCCACAGCTGTCTAGAATTTTGTATATTCAGTTCTTGATCATACATTATCATTTTTTTGTTGTTTTTACTTCGGTGATGTGTCGCTACGTAGCTGAGAATCACTTTGGATGAATGCCATGACGTTGTACCTTATTGCATGCGCCCTGAAAATTCTTTACTCTAAATCTGATGTTGCATTAAATATAATTGGAGAGATATGGAAGAAATCATTATTATATCCATTATGTTCTACGCCGTACTTCACAGACGGAACGGAATGACTGAAAGAAAAAGGGATGAAAAACACGCTTTGTTCTCACAGAGACTTTCATACCAATGTAAAGTATACAAATCTATATATACATACGAAGAAAAATATATCACATATCTGCACATCTTTTCTTTTTATGTGCCGTGTCCTTTCAGGACATAGGTGATCATGGCTCTCCACTTCACTGTATCCCTTGTGGCTATCAATAAGTTTCGTGTTTCTGTCAACTTTTCCGGACCACTTTTGCCACCCACTCGCTTAACCCAGCCAAGTACGCCCTGCGTTGCTTTCCCTTGTCTGTTTTTCCATCTATTCGACCTGTGAGTATCAGATTCTCCAGGCCTTCTTTTCTCATCACGTGTCCCCAAAATTTCATCTGCCTCTTCTTTATGTTAAGCATAAGCTTCCGCCATGTTTTTGTTTTTCGTCCTGATTCCCATTTTTTTTTTTTGTCTTCGTTATCTGAAACGCAATGTTGACATTCTCAGGCGTTTGGGTAGTGGGTTGGTCATGTTAGCATTTCAGAAGTAGAGTGACTTATTTGTTTTGCCCCTATTCCACACCTCTTAGCTTAACCAACCAAATCGCTTTTTTTTTTTAAATGGAGACGTACTTTTGAAGTCAGCCAGACTTTTCACTAAACGACCATTGCTTCGAGGGGAGAAACCATCCTTCCGTGGAAGTGTGTAAACTGCTCTCATGAGTGCTATACGCATTCCGATACTTTCCAGTCACAGGGATCCATCTCCGCGCTGGTAGTCTCACAGCTAGGACTAGCTTGGACTAGCTATGACCAGCTTGGGATAACTATGACCAGCTTGGGATAGCTATGACCAGCTTGGACAAGCTATTACCAGTTAAGACCAGTGTTGTATTCTAAAGCTCCGCAGATTCTTACATTCCTTTCCGCAGTTAGAAATCAAAAGTCCTTAGATCGATCATATTGGTCGGTATCGAATTCTCCGCGCTAACTGGAATCTCACCCCCAACTCTCTGGATTCCCTAGGGGTCAGTATTGTTGTGCGTGGCCATGACAATGATTATTTCTCACGAAATATACATGTTGAAATGCCAGTCCAACATGCTCCTGTGTGCCGTCTGTCCGACGGTCGACAGTCTCTCCAGCTGTCACAAAGACTTTAAATTATTTTAAATAATAAAATCTCAGTTTAACTTTTATTACATTTAAACAAAGAAACCCGTCGCCTTAATGTTTAAAATCTAATATGATTTTTTTTTCAAATATAAATTAATTTCTGTTTCATTGAGATATTAATGTCATGAAAGAAAATATGAAATGAATAAAAAGATTATAATGATGACAGAAGACCTATCTCTGTCATTTTTTTTTAAATCATTACCTCATTGGTATTTTTGTTTTCACTCTTTTTTTCAAACAATATTTAAAATTTAAAAATCAATATCCATTATATATATATATATATATATATATATATATATATATATTAAGAAATGGACAAGGTCCGACAATTTATTTATTAAAGACATGTTTTTTTTTTGTTTTTTTGTTTATGTTTAATGTTTTTATGGTTATCTATAAATAACAACGTTAAACATAAAAAAAAATGTCTTTAATAAATATATATATATATTATTTACTACAGGATAATTGAAAAGCAACTCCCTATTTTGTGTATGAGTGGCCAGGCAGGAGTTCTGACTTAACACACTGCGATTTTTTTCTTTGGGGTTGATTAAAGGAGCAAGTCTGCTATACGAAACCCAAACTCTAGAAGAACTTAAAGGGCGAATAAAAGAAGTTATGTCTTCCATGCCAATAGAGTTCTTGGTGAAATCAGTTAACGCGATTAGTGGGCGGCTCGAGAAGCTGGTAGCGAAATCCGGTGCCAATATCGAATTTAAAATAAAACCTCACGCTTTCCTTTCGTATCAATTTCTTGTAAAAAAAATTATAGTTAATAAATAAATTATAAATATTTTAAAAAGGCGGTTATATTTCAATCACCCTGTATATGATGAAAACTAACTGTTTATGTCAAGTGCCCCTTCAGGACGGGGGCATTCTAACTCTCAGAACCCCCCTATCATTTGTAGCTTTTAGCAATGTTTTATCCTCCTACATTGACTTCCTATTCTGTCATCCATTTACACAAGATTGGAGTGTTTATAAAAAAAATCTACTTTAATATCTGTGTGATCTTCTGGGATGAGGCGTTATCATTCTTTACACTAGTGATATTCGAACAATTGTCCTCATCTTTGTTGTTACTATCACAATGGTCGGTCCATTCTTAGGCGTATTCCGATCTGGATAATCTAAAGAGAATTCCGACTAAACCCTTTATTCAATCTACGCGGATAGGCTGTTCCAATTCGACTAGTACTTATGTTTTATTTAGTACTGAATTCAAGTACACAATGTCAGATTGAACTCACAAACACGATGTTACCAAATTCAAAAATCAGCTTTTGTCTACTAAGCTATTGTCCTGTAGGAGTTTTTGCTGTAGTGAAGCTTTAAATTTAACCTACCTGCTCATTAGGTTGCAACTGCTGCTGTTGCTGCTGTCTGTCATGTTTTGGCTCCTGCTGTTGCCCATGTTTTGATTGCTGCTGCTGCAGTTGAAGACTTGCCTTCAAAAATGTGCGTACTTGCGCTCCGTGGAAACAGGCGTGCAATAACAGAACAGTACACAATACGAATAAAAAAACTCGACGATATCTCTCGACATGAGCAGTGTAACGAGTACAGCCTACCCCTATAGATTAAATAAAAGGATTCAGTTCGGAATTCACTGTAGGTTACACAGATCCATATATACCCGAGGAACCTCAGAGGGCTTAACGGCTGAAAGGTTGGGATAATAGCAATAAAGATGAAGACAATAGTCCAAATTTAAATAGCGTAAATCATGTCTACTCTCTTTTTTTTTTTTAATAAATCTAATTTGTTATTGTATTTTTATTTATATCGGGTTCTGATTGGAATGTAAGTCTCAGTGTCAAATTACAATTAGCAAGTCTAGTCATGTTGGCCATTATCACAGAGTTATGTGTTTCATTCAAGAACCAAAATTAAACAAACCAACACGAGTTGACATGTCGTAAATGCGAAAAGCCTAACAATAATTGGTAATCATTACTTAAAGTATTCATTACATTTTTAATAGGAATGCAGACGAATTGAATTAGTCACATATATTTTTAAAAGAATGTTAAACTTTTCGACATTGCTGACACTGTTTCATGTACAATGAATATTTAAATAGTAGACAACGACTGTTGCCGAAATAAAGTTATAAAATATTTAAGAAAGAAAAGATTTAAAAAAAAATGTCTTAAATCATTTTTTAAGAAATCCATATATTTGAAAACAAAGACGACATTTTAAACCTTATAAAAAAATGTCTTAAATCATAAAATGTGATCTTTTGGTTTACGATAGGATAACATCCCTCCATTTATCAATTTAGAAGAGCGGTTGCCGGGGATTTGTCAAGTATCGACCATCACAAGACTGAAAATTTGAAAAGATTATTGTTTAAGGTTGACGGACCGCATGTCTTAATTAGTTTTATTTTGTGTTTTTTTTTTTTTTACGAATTGGTCAAACCCAAACTCAAACAAAACATTGTTTTTCAATCGTTATGAGTCTACCGATTGAATAGAATTTTATTATAAACAATTGTCTTGGAAATGGAATTGTTAAAGCATTCTGAATGTTAAAATAAAGAAAAAAATGTGCAAGACAATAAGAAACACTACCTGCCAAAAAAAGTGAAGTTTTGTTGGAATCGGTTGAAAAATGTAGGAAATCCGATCCCATATATAAAAGAAGACACACACACACACACACAACCTGTGTTTTATAATAAGTATAACTCGATATGGTTGTCTCTCCTTTCATTCTCGTGACAGCGATGCCTCTTAATCGTGTTTTTCAAATTCATTTCGTCTCTTTTTTCCTATTTTTTTGCTTTGTACGTTTTTTTTATTGAAATCGAAAATGTTGAAAA